GATGTCACCAGTTCTTTAAAGTGCAGCCTGTGACTTTCTAATCTAGTTGACTTCCAACGCCTCTCGGCTCTGCGGCATGTCCTTCTGAGACTGTAAATATTTTGATTAATCCAGGGGCTTTTTCTCTTGCTAGAAAAAGTAATCTGCTTAACAGGAGCTACTTTATCTAAGATACTGCAGCATTGTTTATCCAATGACTGGATGAACAAGCTTGGATCATCACCCTGAACTGAGCTGCTGTCAAATAATCTAGAAAATCCAACCACTGCTGACTGATTAATGATACTTCTCTTTGGTTTTAGGTTGTGAGGGACAGATTCGACATTAGATAGGACATTAAAGAAAATGCAGCTGTGGTCACTCACATGAACCTCTTCAACATGTAAATGATTGATTTTTAGTCCGAAAGATAAAACAAGATCTAGAGTGTGGCCCATTTTGTGTGTGGGGCCTGAAACGTGCCGCTCTAAGTTAAAAGACTCCATAATAGACATGAACTCCACCGCTGTGTTACAATTAGGATCATTAATGTGCAAGTTAAAATCACCAAGGATTGCAACTTTTTCTAGTTTGATCAGTAATGACAGAAAATCTGCTAATTTAGAGAGAAAAGGGCCAGCTGGACCGGGAGGTCAGTAGATTAAAATACAGTGAATTACATTTTGTAACCCTGCTTTGATGACCTGACTTTCAAAAGTTGTAAAAGGGCCATTTTTTTTACCAGATTACAGACATGTTTGTCCTTAAAGACCACAGCAAGACCTCCACCACGACATGTCAGGCGTGATGTGGTAAACACAGAGCAGTATGGTGGACATATTTCATTGAAATGTACCAAAAATCCATCTTGCTGCCATGTCTCCGTAAGAAATAAATAGTCCAACTTTTCTCTGGTGAACAGCTCATTTAAAGTAAAGGATTTGTTTGAGATGGAGCGGGCATTTAAGAGGGCACACTGAACTGAATCCTGGAGAACATTTGTCTTCTTAACCTGTTGGAGAGGGATGGGTCGTAAACATCTGGTGTTCTGGGTTCTCCGGCCATGAATGCAGTTTATGTCCTTGCTGGCTGATAAATGAACTGAAATAGGGAAACTTTTGGGTTTGTACCATACCATACCATACCATCTTTATTTATAAAGCACATTTAAAAACGGCATGGCAGCCGACCAAAGTGCTGTACAGAATAAAAAGTAAAACACAATATAAAACAATACACGGTCAACAATAAAATGCACAACAAGGCAGATAATTAAAGTCAATAAAAAGACACATAATAAAATAATAAAAGTCAGGGATTTAAAAATGCCTGGTCGTAAAAGTGAGCCTTCAGCAGCGATTTGAACCGGAGGAGGGATGGTGCCAGCCTCACCGAAAGAGGAAGTGCATTCCATAGTGTCGGAGCAGCATAGACAAAAGCACGCTGCCCCCGCGTTTTGTATTTCATTAATGGAACACGAAGCAGCAGGCAATCGGCAGACCTCAACGCCCGGTTTGGCACATATCTAGTGACAAGATCCGACAGGTAATCCGGTGCTAGACCGTTCAGGGCCTTAAAAACAAAAATCAGGACTTTAAATTTGACCCTAAAGTTTACGGGTAGCCAGTGGAGCCGCGCCAGTACAAGTGTGATATGTTCTCTCCTAGGAGTGTTTGTTAAAAACCTGGCTGCCGCGTTTTGTACGACCTGAAGCCTGTTAAGAGCGGAGGCAGGTAAACCAATTAAAATGGAATTTGCATAATCCAGTTGAGAGATGATAAAAGCATGGATTACGGATTCCAGGTGTGCTCGTTTCAGGATTGGTTTTAAGCGGACTAGTCTGCGCAGCTGATAAAAACACGATCTGACCACTGCATTAATCTGAGGGCCCATGGAAAACTGTATCAAATTTCACCCCAAAGTTGGTAACACACTGCTTGAGGTCAAAAGGGAGAGTGGCCAAATCAGAAGATACTTGTGTTGTTTGGTTAGGGGTCATCAGGAGTGCCTCAGACTTAGAATCATTTAGCTTAAGGAAATTATTAGCAAGCCAAACCCTCACTTCAGCCAAACATTGGTCCAGAAGAGAGATGGAGTCTGGTTTTTTCAAAGCCAGGTAGATCTGGCAATCATCTGCATAAATATGATAGCCCAGGCCATATTTCCTCAGGATGAAACCCAGGGGAAGGATGTAAATTCGTGGTGCTGGGATGTCAGCAGAAGACAACATTTTGGGAATTGTGACCTTTGGAAGACACACAGAAGACTGCTGCTTCATGGGGGGACTGTAGGGAGTGATGTTATTTGAAGTGGAGGTTTGAGCAAAGGCCAAAGAAGGTGAAGATCTCTGTGATGTAAACCGTCATGTCTGTGGAAGGGAATCCAGCATAGATGTATATCTATGGGACTGCACAGCATACCGGATGTTAGCGGTTAGCATGCTTGAGCCATGTCGGTTAGGGTGAATACCATCTTGCCTGAAAAAGGAGAAACGGTTCCAAAACAGGTTAAAATTGACTATGAAACCAAAACTGTGGGACCTGCAAGCAGACTGAAGTCAGGAGTGGAGAGAGAGCAGACGGCTAAAACATCCATATCAATGAGAAACTGTGGGGATCGGGCCGGAGATGAAAACAGACATTCCACTGCTTTTCAGAATGTCAAAGAGATGGTTAAAATGCTGTTGAGTGATGACGGACTCCCGGCGTGTAACATCGTTTGATCCCACATGAATGATCACTCTTTTGACTGAAGCTAGGATGGAGTACAGCAGACCAGGAAGTTTATCCAGGAGAGCAGGTATGGTGGCTGATGGAAAACATCTTGTCATGACGTTAAAAAAGCGGGCATTCCTGATTATTGAATCACCTACCAGCAAAGTGGTCGGTGAAAACAGTGGACGGGGTGTAGATGGCTTTTGATTTGTGTTCCCGTGGAGTAGTGGAGGATTCTGGGTTTGGGTTCCTGTGGTGTTGGAGAACTGGAGGGTTTGATGTGGAGGATTTGCTGTGGAGGAGCTCACCTCCTAAGCCAGGGCAGGAAGTCCAGCAGAGTCGACGCACAGCATCCTTTAGTATTTTGCGTCGGGCATCAGAGGTTGAGGTCTGGGGGGAAGAGACTGCTGAGGTTGCTTCTTCCGGACTACAGGCTCCTGCTGGATGGGATCAGATGGTTGGGAGGGAAGAGGAGGCCTGGAGGAATCAGCTGGTTGTTCCTCAGCAAGTGGAGAGAAGCAGTTTCAAAGATTGAGGCCAGGTGGGGAGCTGGGATCAACCACAGGGACTATCCTACGGCCACGTACAACAATCTCTGACCAAGATGAAAATTGGTCAGGAGTAGAGCTGGAAGTCGGATTTCGTGGTGCAGAGGGATCCCAAGCAATGGTGTCTTGGAGCAGAGAGCTTTGCATGGATGTTTTATCTTCAAACTGACTGACAATGGTCTCAGACAGTCCAGGAAAACAAGATCTAAAACTATCCAGCACAATTTCCTTCTTTTGCAGTTCAGCAGAGAGTCGTTGTATATCCTCTTTAAGGTTTTCAATTCTTTTATTAGCTTTAGAAAGCGTAAAGGCATCATTGTGGGGCAGAAGCAACGGGAGGACAGACATTCAAGATAGCTTCAAGGTTGCTTACACTTTAGCTTAGCTGCCTCTGTCGGATCCAAAAGATTTGTATTCCCAATAAAGGTCCAAGAAGTCAAAGAATCCAAAAAATAAACAAAGGTCCAACAAAGTTCCAACAAAATCACAAGATCCAGAGATCAGTGACAGGAAAAAACAGGTTTTAAGAGGAATTAGAGCACAAAAAGTAGGAGCTGAAGAAAACACGTCTGCCACGTCTCAAGGACCAGATAACATACATAGTGTAGTCTTGCATGTGTTTATATATTTATACGTGGAGGCAGGACCTCCTGGAGGGTCGTAGTTAATGCTAGCTTTTTCTGCAGAGCTCTGCCTCTAATGATCTATGAAAGTTGACTTAGTCAGTGATTATATCGACGTACTAACAGGCTCATGAGGGCCCACAAGGGTTTTATAAATACAGGAGAGCTCTGTAAAGGAGCTCGTGTCTTTAATGTGATGCACATGAATTAATAACGGCTTTATGTTTTGTCTTAAATTTTACTTTACAGCAAATAATAAATGAAATATATATATTCTTATTTAAGCTGTTGGATGCTTTTGTAAGTGTTTGCAATTCAGAAATTTGATATCCTGTGTCTGCATTTACTTTAGTATTATTATTCTAATAAAAGGAAAACAAAGAAAATTAGTGTAATAAAAATAAACGATTTGTGTTTTAATGAGGCAAGACCAAGAAGCCTCATCTAGAATAAAAGTGAAACAAACAAGTCAAATATTTTAAAAGTGCTACATCCTCTAATTAGGATGAACTCTTAGATGTTTTTTAAAGTATTAAATGGGTTTTACATTCTGTAACTTAAGAGACACGTTGGTGCAGGACAAATATAGATCCAGGCATGTTTTCATTTCTCAAACAGTTAAAGTTTTATAATGAAGGAAAAGGAAGAGGAACAAAAACAAACAAACCTGAACTAACAGGGACTATTTTGTGTTGAAATCAGCAACAATTACTGTTCAAACTGCATTTCTTCTCCTTTGATGACTTTGATGACAAACCTTCAGCCTGCAGCTGTCTGAGCTCTAATGTTAAATGCTGAAGTCCAGTCGGTTTGAATCATGTCTCATTTGGTGTGTGTGTGTGTGTGTGTGTGTGTGTATGTGTGTGTGTGTGTGTGTGTTGGGGGGGGGGGGGTCGTTTCACTACCACAATAAAATACAAGTGTCAGGCTCCTCGCTGGGCTCAACATGGCAACCAGTGAGGAGAGCTGTAGCGTTTGACAAGACCCAAATGTGCAAGTGCTAGTGATGGGAAACGTGTGACGTGCAGTTAATCTAGGAATGCTGACATGAGCCTCGAAGGGAAACAAGGGTGTAGCGGCATTCCAGAAAATATAAAGAATGGGCTTAATGTTCAAATGCAGGTGGATGAGGTAAGCGTGGAAGCTTTGGGCCATCTGGCGAAAATCTGAGCCATGGAGGCCAAGGAGCTAAAGAGTGGAGTAAGTGTGGGAGCTCAAGGTGCTCATTGTGACCAACTGAGCCAAAGCGCTGAAAAAGTAAAGGCTGAATTAAAATTAAACATGCTACAGCCTGAGGCGCTGTCTTACCCGATTCAAAACGGGAACGCCACGGACACTAAACGATGACTCACTGAGCAGGAACACCGACTTCCTGAAATAGATCTGCGTTGATGACATGGGCAGGAAGCCCGGTGTGGGGCATGATGGGAGGTTTGGGTCTGTGGTGGAGTAGTTATGGGTTAATTAGGCTGGGAGGGAAGGTCTGGGGACAAGAACCATGACAAGTTTAGCTGCACAAATAAAGTGGTTCAGAAATTTACAGAAGAGATTCACAAGGAGGCAAAATTAGATTAAAAATACTTTAAAATGAAATTAACTTCTATCATTACACAGTATTATACAGTACTATCAACTTCATGAGAAAGGTTTTCCTCTACTGCCTTTAAAAGAGACTTTCCTAATTTATTTGTCTTAAAGGTCGATTCTGGAAGAATCTGCCTCAGAAATGTTCTGCTGCATGTCGTCACAGCAGAACATTTGGACCTTGCAGGTCCCTGGGAGGTTGGCACCGGGCATCATGGTCCTCCCACACAGAGTCAATATTGACCGTCTCTTCCTGCTCTGAGTTCAGATCAGTTCAGTCACCTCTGCCTTCACGGTGGCGTGACTCACTTTGCTTCGTCTTGTGGTCTGAGAGCTTTTCCCACCTTATTGCTCACTGGTTGCTTGATGCACAGACCCTGTTACTCTTTATGGACATCCATTATCTCATTTATCTAATAACTCACTGATCCATTTTCCTCTCAGAGATTAAAAGAATATTTTCATATTTCTGTTGTTTTGTGCCTCAGATCTGACAGGTTTTTCTTATCTCTGATTATAAAGCTGTTCAGGGTTTCTCTGCCCTGATATGAACTTACTTTTTTATGCATCTATTAATTTTCCATGCCTGCTACATGCTTTTAGTGTATAATTCACTGAACCCAGGACCACAAAGACACAACCATCAGACTCACATGTTATTAGCCTAGCTAATGCCTGAGAGAAACATGCAAAGTCCACTAAGAAACAGCTGAGATTACAATATTTACCAACTGCATCTTTATTGACTAATTCCTTTGTTAATGTCATGGTCTGAGTCCTGCGTCTCCCTCATGTGTCTCCTTGTGTTCTCCATCCCTCTCTAGGTTTCCCTTATGTGTCTCCTTGTCTGCATCCCTCCTCATGTGCCTCCTTGTGTTCTCCAGGCCACTCCAGGTTTTTTTTTTTTCCCCTTAGGTGTTCCCCCCAGGTTTCAGCGTCCCTGTGTGTCCCCAACCCCCTCCAGGCTATCTAGGTTTCCCTTACGGTTTTCCTTGGACACCTTTTATCATTAGTCTTCTGTTAAGTGTTTAATCTAGTCTGTTTTCTCCTTCTAGTTCATTTTGCTCCCTTTCCCATTTTTAGGTCTGGTTTCCTCCCCTACTCTGTTGTGCTCCTCCTTTGTTTATTGGTCTCACCGGTGCACAATTGCCTAATCACCCAGCCCTTGTGTATATAACCCTGTCTGCGTTACAGTGTGATTGTTGGTCCATTGTTTGTGTCAGTGTTGTCTCGCACCCTCTCTAGGTATTTGGAATTTTTCTAGGTCTCTTGTGTTTTGGGATATTCCCAGGGTTTTGATTCTTGGATTTTTGGATGTTTGGTTTTTGGCTTCCAGCCCTTTAGATTTACCCCTAAATAAAGGATTTTTACATTTTCACTACTCCTGTCTTGTGTCATCCTGGGTCTGCATCTTGGGTCCTAACCTCCCCCAACTCACAGCGTGACAGTTAACCTCATTGTTTGGTATCATTATTATTGAGTCATGCTGATAAAAAGATGATTTAGTGCATGAAATTCTGAAGAATGTACAGCTTTTTATTTATTTATTTATTTATTTGGCTGTCAAAACCTTTTTGATACAAAGGGTTTGCAGGTGAAGGCCGCCACCTGAGGGGAGACCGGTTTCTGACACATCTATTAACCTTCAGGAGACATCCGTCCTCTGTCACACCCCTTTGTCCTATTTTTCCTCTCCTCCCTCATCTCCCACTCTGTCCCCCATCTGCTGGTCCCCAGGCAGCAGGAAATGTCCCTGGAACTGAAGAGCAAAATAACTAAATGACTCATATTTTCCTATTTTCAGAACATTTTTGCATGCTGAGGAAATTAATCTCAATCATGCACATGTCACAGTGTCCTCCAGTTTGTCTCTGCCTCTTTCTGTCTCACCATAGTTCAAACTCATTTACTTTTAGATTTATCCATAGTTCTGCTCCTTGCATGTGAGGAGTTGCTTGTGGACAGTGCAGCTCGTTTAATTCACTGATGCAGATAAAGAGGAAATTGACAGAATTCTGCAGCTTTTTCTTGTCAGTTCAACCAAAGTAATGAAAGTCAATGAAAACTGAGTCCTGCAAATGAAAACAGACATGAACCTGTTTGATGAACACACACTTGTTTTACCTTGACACAGGTTCATTCAGTCATTTGGTAAAATTCTAACAAAGATGGTGGATGGAGGCAGAAAAGCTCCCATCTGGATTATTAATCTGTTTTCTTCTTCTCTGCAGGAATTCACGTTGCTACGACTGGACGATGTGGCGGACCAACGAGTCAACATCTTGGGCTTTTCAGTCTTCAACGGAACTCATCCTTTCTTCCAGGAGTTTGTGCTGAGCTTGAATCGCTCCTGGCAGGAGAATTGTGACCACGCGCCCTTCGCCGGCACTCCGGTCAGTTACACACATTCTGTAAATCCTCTCAGATCAAAGACTGATGAGCTCTCTTTGGAGTTAATTATCTCCAAACAGGAGCTTCTTTGCCTTACACCAAGGAAAAAGTTACGTCACTGAACGTTTTCTGAACACATTAATGAACTGAAACACTATTATTAAATATTGTGAAGTATTTAAATATGACATTTATCCAATTAACTGCTGTAATTTCATTTGTTGCTGCAGGTAATTCTTCTTCCTCAGACAGCTCATTAGCATCAGTTAGCACTCCCTTATTACTCTTATAACGACACCTACCTTGTTCAGTTTCCTTCAGAGGGAACACAGGAGGTGTTCACCTCCTCAGCTCTCCTCTGAAATTACCCACAATTCATCTGAACTGGGTCAGAATATTTCATGTTAATGCTCATTTTTATGTTTGATTGACTTCAGGAAAACAATCATGTTTATTAGGATATTGCATGTTTGTGATGCAGCACAAACAAAGATATTTGCTTTTATCTTATTGTTGAACTGGTTTTTGTTTAACAAATCCTTATTGAGGCTCCTGCATAAAGAGGTTTTATTGTTATTGCAACATCTTTGTGCTTTTTCATGGGTTCATTTGAGTTTCCTGCCTCCAATTCATCAAATAAAACCTGGTTAACTACCTGCATAAACATGTTTGTGAGGCTCAGATTTATGGGCACCATCTAACTTCTTAATAATCCCAAAAGGTGAAGAGTTGTCACTCGTTTGTCTCCAAGTGTCACTCATAACATCACAGCCTTCTTACAGGCGAAAGGAAACTGTTAGTTAAGAAAAATGGAGTCACTAAAGTCAAATTATAGATAATTATTCTGTGTTTGAATTCAATAGAAAATAAAAAGAAACAAACTGGTCCATCTGCTGTGCTGAATCTGCGTGGTGAAGCAGGTTAGAAACAGAAGAACGTGTCGTTGTCATGCAGCAGGACACTCAGACACTCGTCAGCAGAAAGAATGAAAACAGTATCTTATATAGTGCCTCTCAAGATAAAAATCGTGAGGTGCTTCACATAAACAAACAAAAAAACAATTAAAGAATAAAACATATTTCAAATAAGTATTAAATTTTTGTTTTTAATGAGAAAATATTAGAAATTGTGCTAAAAAATGTTTAATAATTTAAGGAAAGGGAGAGAGAAAATTAATAAGAAAGAGGGGAATCAGTGGATCACCGGTCACCTGTGGTCTTCTTACCTGGTGCGCTGCACAACCAGTAGGTTTGGGTCACTGGGGGTGTAGGGACTAAGATGATCACCAATGTGTGATGGTGCTTGTCCATGTAAGGCCCTATAGACCACAACCAGGATCTTGAAATGAACCCTGAAGTTGACTGGCAGCCAGTGAAGCTGGAGGAGAAGCGGGGTGATGTGGGTGTGTTTGGAGGACTTGGTCAGAAGCCGAGCACAGGCATTCTGAACCACCTGTAGACGGTTCAGGGAGGTTCTGCTCAGACACGTGAAAAGAGAGTTACAGTAGTCTAAGCGTGAGGAGATGAAGGTGTTGATGACAATTTTAAGTTCAGTGTGGGACAGAATGGGACTCAGCTTAGTGCAGCATGATGGATGTCGCTACTTATTAAATGATCAATAAGATGGGATATTCTGTTTAAATATGAATGATCTTTGAATATTTGACCTTAGGTTTTTTGACTATTCAGGAAACACACGTCATATTAATTCAGACAGAATCAAGTATATAAAATTTAATTTTATAAAATTGTTCTAAATTAGTGATTATACATGATAAAGTTGTTGTAAAGTGTCCTTGTGTCCCTTGAAAGATACTTTTAAATAAAATGCATTATTATTATTATTATTATTATTATTATTATTATTATTATTATTATTATATTTTTTTGTATATTTGTATGCTTTCACTGAAGTGCCAGAATCAATCCATGCTTCTAAGGCAGTTTCAGAGTTAGTTCCTTCTGATGATGTGGGCACTTCCGAGAAGAACAATCTTCTGGATTTCTTGGACTGTTGGGTTTCCAGGAATCTGTTTTGTTCTCTTTTCCAGTCCCTTCTTGATGAGGCCAAGTGAACCCACTATGACGGGTATTGTTGTTGTCTTCATCCCCCACAGTCTTGTGACTTCTATTTCCAGGTCCTTGTACTTTGATAGCTTTTCAAGCTCCTTGGTGGTGCCATTTTTTTCAGATGGGATGGTCATATCAATCATGAGGCAGGTCTTCTCTTCTTTGTTTTTGATGACTATGTCTGGTCTGTTGGCCATGATTTCTCTGTCTGTGTTGATTGGCATGCCCCACAACAATGTGATGATGTTGTTTTCAGTCACTGTTGGTGGTTGGTGTTCATACCTCTTATCTGCAGCTGGTAGATGGAAATGTTTGCAAATCTTCCAGTGGATATAGCTTGCTGCCCTGTCGTGTCTGTGGATGTACTCAATTCTGGCTAGAGTGGGGCAGCCTGAGAGAATGTGGTCAATGGTTTCTTCATATTGGCTGCACATTCTACACATGGGGTCTGTTCCGTCTTTAATGATCTTGTGGTGGTATGATCTCGTTGACAGGCTCTGGTCTTGTGCTGCTATCAACAATCCTTCAGTTTCTGCCTTCAGTCCTGCACTGTGTAGCCACTGATGAGTATGATCTTGTTCTACATCTGCTTTTTTTACTCTCAAGGGGTATTGTCCATGCATTGGTTTTTCCTCCCATGTTTCTCTCATCCTTTTTTGTGCCCATTTCTTTGCCTCCCTTCTGGTCCTCTTGGCAAAGCTTGTCACTGTTTCTTTGTCTATTCTTGCCACCTCTGGGATGTTTAGTTCCTGTGCATATCTTATAGCTTATTTTGTAACAGAGTACAGCTTCTTTCGAGCTTCATGTTGACAAACGAGGATCAGTAGGGCATCGTCTGTTGTTTCAAGGTAGGTTTTCAATGCCATTGTTGTTGTTTTGTAAGCCATCTCAAGTTGTGTAAGTCCTCTGCCTGCAATCTGTCTTGATAGATGCATTCTTTCAACATCTGCTTTTGGGTGGTGCATTCTTTCAGAAGTCAGCAATTTTCTGGTCTTGGTGTCTAGTTTCTTTACTTCTTTAAGTTGCCAGTTGATGATGATGATGATGATGATGATGATTATTATTATTATTATTATTATTATTATTATTAAGTATGAATGCAATGATGGAGTGGAAGCTAGAAGTTTTGTGACAAAACCTTGTTCAATTCAATTCAATTCAATTCAGAAATACTTTATTAATCCCAGAGGGAAATTGATTGCTGTAGTAGCTCAGGATAATAATAATAATCAAGTCATCAAAGAGTTATTGTATATTACAATGGCTGTTGGCAGGAAGGATCTCCAGTAGCGGTCAGTGTTGCAGCGAAACTGAAGAAGCCTCTGACTGAAGACACTCTTCCGTTGTTGGACAGTCTTGTGAAGAGAATGCTCAGGGTTGTCCATAATTTTCTTGATTCTCTGGAGAATCCTTCTTTGCATGATCTCCTCCAGTGGTTCCACAGTCGTCCCCAGAACAGAACCAGCCTTTTTTATTAGGCTGTTGAGCCTTTTCGGGTCCCTGCTTCTGATGCTGCTACCCCAACAGACGATGGCTGAAGAGATTACACTCTCAAAAACAGACTTGTAGAAGATCTGCAGCATCTTGCTACAGACATTGAAGGACCTAAGCGTCCTCAAGAAGTGCAGTCTGCTGTGTCCCTTCTTGTAAACGGCTTCGCTGTTCTTTCTCCAGTCCAGTCTGTTGTCCAGGTGAACTCCAAGGTATTTGTATTCCTCAACCACCTCCACTTCTTCTCCCATGATGGAAACAGTGTTTGACTCCACCCTGTTTCTTCTGAAGTCTAAAATCATCTCCTTTGTTTTGTTCACGTTCAAGGTCAGATGATTGTTTCCACACCATGCCACAAAGCGCTCCACCAGCTCTCTGTACTCAGCTTCCTGTCCATCTCTGATACACCCGACAACTGCAGAGTCATCTGTTACGTGTCTCCGAGATCTTGTGATGTCTGGGTTGTAAAATCAGTGTGGCTGTATGGTTTAACAAGCTATAGATTATTCGTAAAACCGTCTGGCACCATTGTGCAGAGTCTATGATACCATTGTGTGACGGTCGCTCTCGGTGGTCCGGAGAAGAGGCAGCCAGGGTGGTGAGTTCACCGGACACAGTGGCTCCTGGAGTCTGTCATGACCACCAGCCTGGCCTCTTCAGGAGCAGGAGCCAGGATCACCCAGCCCCAGTGATCAGCCAGACACTGCCCCTCCTCTTCTCCTCCAGGCTGCTGAGGAGCACAGCTGACCTGAATCCCTCTGACGACCCACACCTGGGATTAAAAAGGCTGTGCCTTCAGCATTCTGGGAGGTAGGGCCAAGATCGCTGTTAGCGCCTTGCTCCATTCTCTTTGACGGATAACATTCCCGCCGGCCGGGTGGAACTTGGTCGAACGGAAATCAATGGCGGGTAGGCGCGGCTGTTTGGTGAATGAGAAGGAGTGGGGAGACATGGGGGACTGTGAGAGCGAAGACAGCAATTTAGAGTTGAGTTTTCGGCGGGAGACGATGAAGGGAAAAAGGAGTTACAACTCTGCTGATGACTGTCATGGTCTGTGTCAGCCCCCTTCCTTTATGTGCCTCCTGGTGTCCTCCATCCCTCTCTAGATTCCCTCTTGTGTCCCTTTGTTCCCCCAGCTCCCCTTGTGCTCTCTTAGCGCCCTCATGTGTCCTTGTCTGCATCCCTGTTATGTGTCTTATGTTGTAGCCCTTTGGCGCCCTCTTGTGTCTTTTTTCTGTGTCAGTTTCTGTGTGTCAGTTTGTGTGTCAGTCTAGTGTCTGATGTTATCTTTTACTGTTTCCTCCCAGGTCAGCTCCAGCTTCTTTGTCCCCAGCTCAACGTGTGTGTGTTAGTCCTTCCTGCAGCCTTTAGGTTTAGTTTTGGTGTCTTAGTTTCTTAGGGTTATTTGGCCCTCTGTTTCTGTTTCCCATTTTGATTATTAG